ACATTCCTCCATCAAATACGCCCTGTGGGCAAGGAATTTTGTCTTTTGGTACAAGATGTTACTATGTATAACTACTATATATAACTATATGTTATTATATAAACTACTATATATCCACTATAAGTTACTATATACTACTACATATATAACTAGATATTTGTATAGTCATGTGTAGTCTGCTGCACATTGACGGTGGGTGTTGCCGATGTCCTCCACACAAAAGTGCAAACTCTTATCACCATATTATGCAAACAATTGCTCCAAACCTAAACAAAGATACCCGAAAAACGAGAATTAAATAACCATCAATTGAGCAATTGTTAAGAACATGATAAGGTGAAGGAACCAATATTATGAAGAGAAAAGGCCAACAGCGGTGGCGGGAAAAATATTATGAGAAAAAAAATTCAACATAAAAATAAATAAATAAAAAGTCAATGTCGGAGATCGGCGGGAGAAAAGTTCAGTAAAAAAATTATTTTTTGAAGAAAAAAAAATAATTCAAAAAATTGTGAAAATGAAGGTTGACATGATATATTTATTAATTTGAGATATTATGGAGGAAATTGATGTAAATTATCTTCTGAGAGGTATTTTAGGCAAGAAACAAGGGATGAGATTTTTTGTATAACTGAATTTTGTCATATGAGTGCAAATAAGTCTTACTCCTTATAGTTAATTATTCTCCCTAAAATGGGTTTCTGGTGATGGTGTGAGAAGAATTGTTGCGGCGAGCTTGCGGCTAGGGCAGAGATTTTCGAAGACGCCAAACGGAAACGAGTAATGATATTGATAATTAGTCTAAGTTGCATATTGGTCATTAGATTTAGGTCTAAGGATTTTTTTTAAAACAAAGATATATAAATTAGAAAAAAACTTGAAATAAATAAATAATAAATAGATAAAGTTGGTTGTCCGATAATATCCGATGAACCAACTTTTTAGTATACTACAAACTAACTACCGATTCCAAGTTGGTTGGCATTATTGACCCATCTTTAATGAGTTTGTTTATGGTTGGTCAACCGTACAAAATATGAATAAAAAATGGGTTGGTCGACTGAGTATAATTGACCCATGAATAGCCCTAGGTATATCCTTTTTCCGTTATTTCACACAAAAGCCCATTAATTGAAAATCATAGGCTATGTTTGTTACCGTTTTCAAATTCCTTTCACACTTTCCCAAAATGAAAATTATCTTTCTACACTATTTTCAAAAACTTTCCCCAAAACAAATTTAAATATTTCTCTCTCTAACAAACATGATTTGACCGCTTCAGTGAAAATTGTCTTCACTAAATACAAAATCAAATCACTTTATCTTTTAAATTCTTCTTCCAAAATACATTTTCCCAACACCTTTCAGACATGATTTGACTTACTACAGTACCAATTGTCTCCTCTCAAAACACAAACAAACTTTATTTAATTTTCAAATTCTTCTCCCTAAACATCTTTCTTCAAAATAAAATGGAAATGGAAGCCTAAACGCTTACCAAACACAGCCATAGTATTTTTTGACAGAATTAACATTAACCCTTCTATTGCAAAATTTAATTTTTAACTATTGACCATCAATTGGTCTTTTTTTTTTTCTTTCCTTCCTTTCCTGTTGACCACCACTATCATGTTGTTTGCCGCCATTATATACTGTTGACTTTTATTTTTATTATTATTATTGTTTTTATGTGCTATTATGTGTTGACCATGTTATAATGTTGTTGACAACCGCTATAATTTTATTGACTGTCACTACATGATGTTGACTGCAACTTAATAGCCGACAATGAAATGAATAAAAAAATGAGTTGATCGAACAATAGCAAGGTAATATTTGGAAGTGTTTTGGAACTTATTTTGATTTCATTTTGAGAAAATATATTTTGGGTGATGAAGAATTGAAGATAAAGAAATGTTGTTTATATTTTGGAAGGAGGCAAAATACACTGTAGCAGTCACATCATGTTTAAAAGTGTTAGAAAAAAGTATTTTAGAAGAATAAAATTGAAGATGAAGTGATATTTATTTATTTTTAGTGAAAACATTATTTACTGTAGCAGTCAAATCATTTTACTATAGCAGTTACATCATGTCTGAAGGAGAGATAAACTTTTGAGATTGTCTTGAAAAAATTATTTGAAATGTTTAATAAATATAATTTTATTTTGGGGAATCAATAAAAACAAAATAAAAACACTACCAAACATTGCCTAAATGATCGAGCGGCTAGCAAAAAGAAATAAGTTGACAGATTTTGTCAATGCCAAACAATTAAGGCATGAAATTGGAACAAAATTAGTGTTTGATGGATGAAAGTGAAGGGTTTGAGGGTAAATTTGTCATGATAGGCTTTTAGGTAAAACTGAAATTGATTTGGACCTAATCGCAAGAATTTTAATGTTGATGAGCCTATATGAAATTTCCCCTTTTATCATTTTTTTTTTTTTTTTGAAATAGGACAAAATGCATTTCGGCCCCTAGATTTTTTTTTTAATTTTCACACTTTCCCCCTTACAAATTATAAAATGAGACTTTTCGACAAATTCAAAATGCACTTTGCCCCCTTCAAAATTTTATGCACTTGCACTTTGCCTTTATTGACATTTTTTCACCAGTATTTTTATTTATTTGTTCACTTGAAAGGCATTTTCGTCTGTTCACTTGGGCTAAGTGCATTTTGTCCATTCAAAATTTAAAGATAATGAAGAGCGATGATAATTTCTATTCTTTTACACGTTTTAATTGATAACTGAAAATGTGATCAAACATGAACAATCATACATATCTGGTGGACCTTTGTTGGATGGTGGCCACAAAATTTTCATTGATGAAAGTTTCTCTTACAACTGCATTTATATCATTTATGAGTTTTTATGATTAGGGTAAAAAGGACTTGTAGCAAGTTTTCCCATTATACAATAGCAGTATATATGTACCGTACCAAATTTCTCAAGCAAGAACAAGGTGAAATACACATTGCAAATGGAACTAAATGCTTCTCTACTTGCCATAATCATCTTGCTATCTATATATATAGTTTTCAACATTTCCAACAAATTCTCATTCATCGAGAATAAGAAGCAAAAGCTTCCTCCGGGCCCAAATGGCCTCCCCATCATCGGAAGCCTCGTAACAATTGGAGGCCGAACCCACGAATCCATAGCCAACCTAGCCGAAACCTACGGCCCACTCATGACACTAAGGCTCGGATTCGTCAACGTTGTCGTAGCTTCCTCTGCAGAAACGGTGAAAGAAATTCTTCAGACGCACGAAATGGAATTCATAGGTAGGCCCATCCCAGATGCGGCCACAGCAGAGAACGGGTACGAGCTCGCTCTGCCGTGGCTATCTGTGGGCCCCCACTGGAAGAAACTCCGAAAAATATGCAACGCCCATCTTTTCACGCCTATGAAGCTAGATTTGATCCAATAACTTCGCAATCGAGTAATGAGAAATGTGATCGAACGGTTGTTTCGAGCTCAAGAAGGTGGAGAAGTGGTTGAGATTAAAGGACTAGCTTTTAGTACTATCGTGCAGTTGATGTCGAACTCGATGTTTTCGGACGATTTGCTGGATCCTGCATCGGGTGCAATGGAGGAGCTGGAAATGCTTAATGGTAATATAATGGTGTTATTTGGGAAGCCGAATTTTGCTGATTATTTCCCCTTCTTGAGGCTATTTGATTTGCAAGGAATTAGGCGTGAGATCAGAAAGTCGTATGATAGATTGCATGGATTGATCGATGGCATTATTGATATAAGGACGGAGCGTCGTCGCTCGAGTGATGGATCGGATAGGGTCGGAGATTTCTTGGATGTTCTTCTCGATTATATGGAAGATGAAGGACCTCAAGGACTTACACGCTTAGATATCAAGCTTATGATAACGGTTGGTTTTCTTTATCTATTTTTACTCTTATCTTAAAGTTTATATGTAGAAATATTTGGGCATTTCGGAGAGGGTAAAGATGTCATTTATTGAGATTGGATTATATTTTAAACGAACAAAAAAAACAATTAGAGAAGTTTAGGATTGATTCGAGCACGGTTCAACTCAATTAAAAAGATCAAGTCAGCTCAGCTCATTTACGTCGTTAATCAATCTAAGTAATCTAGTTAGACATACTTTTGAGGGTGCATTTGGATTGAGCGATTTGGAAGAGGATTTGATTTGGGGAAGTGGATTTGATTTTGTGAAGGGATTTGAAAGACACCAATTTGGAGTGATTTGAAATCTACCGCAATTGCTCAAAAAACAACTAAGAAGAAAGGTTGTGAATTTGAAATTCCTCGTCAAATCCTTCAATTCAAGCAAGTGCAAGGATTTGTTATTATGGATTTGAAATCCCTCCATCCAAATGGACCCTAAATGTTTTAAAGGAAGTTAGTTGTGGTTCACCCTTAATTTTAGATATTCGAGTTAATATCTTGTTTACTTGCTTTAAGAGATTGATGTTACTAATATATATATCATTCTTGGATCATGCTAGGAGTTATTCATCGGAGGTACGGATAGCAGCACAACAACCGTTGAATGGGCAATGACGGAGCTCATCCGCAATCCAAACATATTATCCAAATTAAGACAAGAGTTGTCCGAGAAAATAACAAACGGCAAAACAGTACAAGAACAAGATCTCCCTCAACTCCCATACTTAACAGCAGTGATCAAAGAGACAATGAGGCTACACCCTCCATCGCCTCTCCTCCTCCCCCGTCGAGCCGAACAAGAAGTAGAAATTCACGGTTTTACCATTCCTAAAAACACTCGAATCTGGTTGAATGTTCTGTCGATTACAAGGGATCCTAAAAGTTGGGATGGCCCCACGTGTTTTGTGCCCGAAAGGTTTCTTGACTCGGATATCGATTTCAGGGGCAGGGTTTTTTCGTTTATTCCGTTTAGTTCTGGAAGGAGAATATGCCCCGGGATGAATCTTGGTTTGAGAATGGTGAGCCTCATATTGGCTACACTTGTGCAGAAGTTTGATTGGAAATTGCCTAATGAAATGGCTCCTGAGGATATGGACATGACAGATAGGTTTGGTCTCACTCTAAGGAAAGCTCAACGCCTGGTCCTAATTCCAACCAAACTCTGAAATATCATTCTATTCCCGAATAAGTATATATAT